AGGCCCAGCAAAAAGGAAAAAAGAGGGGTGGGAGGGTGGGTGAAGAAATTCACCAGGAGCTGAATCTGCCGAAGGGCAGATCCCCGAGAGAAGGGCAGACAGCTTCGCCATATCTTCCCGGCTCTGCTGTAATATCTTACACATTTCATTAATACTCAAAAAAGTCTTGCCTGCAGGCTGGGGATTTGGTCGGTTCATTATGTGAGAATCTGGCAGGAACAGACACAGGGTGCAGGCAGGCTCAAAAAGTAGAACAAAAATTTATTGTAAATAACAAAAAACTGCTGTAAAGACAGCTCAAACTTACAGAGGCACGGAGATCACACAGGCAGGGGGAGCAAAGCACAATGAACCGACACAAGACTGAGACGAGACAGGACTTAAATACACTGACAACTAATTGTTGAACTGAAAACACCTGGTGGGAAACACGAGGGTGACAATCAGACTCATAGGGAGCAGCTGACAGAGACACACTGGGGAACATAGAAAAACACAAGGGAAACTAAGGTGAAAACAGACAAACCATGACACCGCGTCGAGCTGCAAAAGTTCAGATTTTCTAACTTCAGCAATTTGAGCCTCAAGCACGTCGAACGCTCAGATCGTTCAAATCGTTCAAATCGTTCAAATCGCGCTGCTCTAATCGCGCTTGAGGCGCCGCAGAACTTCCCGACGTTGCTTGAAGCGCATCCACCATAGACTTTGTATGTAAACCTGATGCTCCTGATGCTGAAATCGCGTTCGGTGTGAACGCACCATTAGATACAAAACTTTAAATTCAGTTTCAACTTAGTAAAATTAATTTTGAAACCAATTAATTCAATTTCAAATTATGCACATTCAGAATTAATCTGAGCAATTCAAATTCAGTTCCTGCTGGCACAAGATTTATCCCATACAAATGATTCTGGTGAAGATGTGGTGCTTGTCCTACTAAACCTAACTGCTGCTTTAGATATAGTAGACCATAACATTTTACTGTCTTGTTTACAGCCCCAACTTAGTGTTTGTGGTACTGCTCTAAAACTGGTTTAGGTGATATTTCGCAGACAGAACAATGGGCCTCATGCAAGAACATGTTCGTATTCTTATCCTAAATTTCTCTTACTTTTGTTCGTACAAAGGGTTCGTACGAACATGTCACGTCAGATTGTGTAAATGAGCTGCGTAAATTCCACCTGTTCATATCCAGCTGCTCGTGCACACAAGAGGAGATAAGTATAATTAC